TATTTAATAATACAATATTAATGTATTTAGAATATACTTACCTGAGACTAGAGGAAGGAATACAATAGATGTGGCAGCATCAATGAGTCAAGGATTTAATTCCAGACCAAATTTTATACGTGGCACTTAAATTTAAAAAAAAAAATCAATATTTAAATTTTTTATTTCAACATCTTTTTTAATAAATAGATAAATCTACAATTTTTTGTTATAAGTTTTATATAAATAAGTAAGTTATTTAACTATATAAATATTTTTACAATTTAAGTAGGAAATTTACTATAGTCTTATCCATTATTATCTATAAATTACGAAATAATCGATTTATTAATATACATAATATACAATGTTGATTTTATTGTATTTTTTTATCAGGTTTAAATAATTATAAAAATAATATTTTGATAATACTATCAAAATATTTTTTGCTTAATGAAAAAATTAATTACTAAGAGAATATACATTTGTTTAATTGACAGGATATTGTTATAAAATATCCAAACAAATGAGCCAATGTTTTTAAGTATACATAAGTATCACTAAAATGTGAAATTCATCACTGCCTGTGTAAAAAATTAATTTATTTTTTCATATTATATTATACTTTATACAACAGTTTAAAAATTATAAAATTTTTTCTTCCTACATAAAAATTTAAATTATATGCTAATTTTGAAGTATATTATAATATAATTGATCTAATTTTTCATAAAATACTAAACATAATACAGTATGTGGTGCTATTCTCATCCATGTAGGAAAAATTCCTTTATATAAGCCAATCAGTCCTTCTGTTCGTACTATTTTAACAAATGCATCCAAAAGTCCATTATATAATGTACCTTTTCCTTCTACATCTATTCCTATATCATTTTTTATTGTAAACTTATAATAAATTTATAATTAAAAATTAGCCTCAAGATATAATTAAGTAAATTACTTACGTTGATTGTACAATCTTGTTGCTAAAACATCAAATGGTTGTATAGTGAATGCTACACAACTTCCACCAATTACAGAAGCAAAAAAAGTTAACAATATTGGTTGATTTGTAAATACCTTAAAAAAAATATGAGATATATTTTGATTTAGGTTGCACTTTATATAATAATCATTTAAATATTCACTTGTGATGAGCGCAACCAATCTGCAGCTAAATCAAAAGTGGTTAATTGTGTCGCAGATCCTATAAAAATACGTGGTATACCAGCATACCAGCCACGATACAAAGCAACTATTCCACCTTCTTTCCATAGAGATTTGAATGCATACCAAGTGCCCAAATAATTATGTTGATAACCAACAGCTATAGATTGTGCTGATTGTGCTTGTAATTGTGTTTTTATCTAATAGAAAAATGATCAAACTGTTCATTTTTAATTAATAAGATAAACTTTTATAATTTTACTAAACTTTAATTATTTTGATACATTAATATATCAATTTTAATATAAATTATTTATATTATTCTAAAATAATTCACAAAATAATAAATAAGACCATAAATTACCATATAAAATGGACTGCCAAGAACAGCTCCAATACATCCAGCTGTACCAGTTACCATTGCAGTTTTTATAATATCAGTATTTCCTGAATCGTTAGTAATTAGCTCATATTTTTTTGCTGTATTGTATATACCTAACCGTATTCCATTGAGCACCACTTGAAAATATAGAGCCGGTATAATGCCGGCTTGTAAAGCACATATACCTTCATGTTTTGCAATTAAATAACCTGCATGTAGAGTATTCTTATATATTTTTTTGTATGTACGACGTGCTTCAAGCTCTCCTTGTAATTGTAATCGTACTTTTATTACATCAATTGGATTCGTAAAAAATCCAGCTCCCACCGCAGCTAATCCTCCAATTACAAATTCAATACCTGGACTAATAAAATCTAAAATTAATAATTCTTAAAATTATTTTAATATAAATATATTTTTTTATACAAAATTTTTTCAAAAAATCGTTAACATACAAGTAATTGCGCGCGAAAAAATAATGGTATTTTATTTTAAAAATATATGAAATTATTCAACTTTTAGAATTTATTCAAAAAAATATTTAATTATTAAAAAAATGCGATATTAATTATTTATAAATTTTATTATAATTTATTATATTATATTACAATATACATAAAATATAGATATGAAGATTAGTAATATTAAATTAATAAATATATATTGAATCAGAAATTATTCACTAAATTTTAAGTTTTATTTTTTATTTTATTTATTAATTGGTTAATTTAAATTAGTTATTAGTGAAATAAAATTTTCTTTATTTTTTAATACAAATTATAATAATATTAAATAAAGTCATGTAATTTTAAATACAAGTTTTTTTTTGCAATAATTAATATGGCTAATAAAAAAATTTTGGTTACAAAATTAGAAATCATATTTTAAGTTTTTATAAAATAAGATTGATTAGCACTAAAAATGTCTTACTAAAGTTAAAAATTACATTACACTTGTTGAACTAAACAAACAATAAAACACGAAATAAAAAATTGATTAAATCAATCAAATAATTAAGTCATCACTGACCAGTTAAACGAATTCATAATTATAGTATATATATAAAATAATCATGATCAAATATAAATTTTAAAATGTTAAAGAACATAGAATTAAATAAGCTACTATATTAAATATTGAAACTCATACACAACTTTTAAGATTAAATATTTAATAATATACTCATAGTTGACCGGCCGGTTTTAGATACAAAGATTATTGCATAA